ACAAAGGAAATGGGGCAAAAAGTAAAAAATTGGTGAACGTGGATAAAGGTGATAATGGATTTTTCTGAGCTATTCTTGCAATTTTTCTGTAGGTTTGAAATACTCCTCTTAGAAAGTTAAAAAAATTGAAAATCACTGAAAATTTTGCATGGGAGCTTTTTGTATGACACAATTTCTCCACCTATGAAATCAGGGAATTCAGGACATCAGTCTGTGCTCAATGTCCACCTCACCCTGTGTTATTTACTGGGACCCGAAGAGATAGAACAGGTAAGGGTAGATTTTGGAAAGCTGCTTTGATAAAAACATTCTATGAAAGCTCTTGCACGTTCCCAGATGGGGCTATCAAATCTGGGCAGCTTGGGTGAAAAACAGGAATCCTACCTGCTAGACCAGGGTTGGCAAACTGTGGTCTCTGAGCCAAGCCCAGCCTGCCACCTGTTTTTGTATGGTCTGTGAGCTAAGAAAGCTTTCCCATTTTAAAGCAATTGGAAAAAAAAAAAAAAAGTCAAAAGATTTTGGGACACGTGAAAATGTTGTGAATTTCAAATTTTAGTGTCTGTAACTAAAGTTTGAGTGGAACACAGCTATGCTGTGTTTGTTTGTTTCCAAATTGTCTAGGACTGCTTTCCCGCTACCACGGGGTAGTTGAGTAGTTGTGACAGAGACCACACATGGCCCAGAAAGCCTAAAGTAGTTACTACCTAGCCTTTTGTAGAAAAAGCTTGCAGACTCCTACGGTAGACTACGTGAAACATATAGTTTCTTTAGATCAGTGGCTCTCGGCTGGGGTCAGTTTTGTCCCCCAGGGGCCATTTGGCGATGCCTAAAGCCTTTTTTGGTTGTCACAACTGGAAGGGATGCTACTTCATCCACTGGGAGGCCAGGAATGCCGACAAACATCCTACAATGCACAGGTCAGCCCCACAACAAAGAGAAGAATGATCCAGACCCAAATGTCAGTAGTACTAATGTTAAAGATCCTGGTCCGGAGACCAGAGACGATGACATGTTTAAGGCTGGATACCATGGCCTCGCCCTGAATAAACTACTTTACTCCTACCCTTGACTCCACCTCTATGTCCAGCCTCTCTATCCCTACCCTACACGTCACTATAGCTTGACTCCCTGCAAGTTATGTTCCCAGTAGGCCGTGCACTCGGCCCTCACAATTCTTCATCAGCCTCCTTAACCTCCCATCCTTGCTGCCATGCTCTGCAGTCCTCTGTGATCTCATCTAATTCCACACAGCATCACCCTTATATGTCTCGACTGGTCAGGCTATGTCAGTTCGGGCCCGCCCTCCCCTCCCCTGGCTACCTGGCTGGCTAGCTCTCCTGCTTCTCCATCATTCCCCAGGCCCAGGCCAGGAGGGTCTCCATGGCAAGCCCATTCCAGGGCTGGGAAGGTCGGAAGCTGCACCTCACACCATCTTGACGGACCCACTCCCAATTTTTGTCCTGGGGGACACTGCTTGGGGCAGAGCGGGAGTTAGGGGTAAGTATTCAGGAATCTGTCCGCTTCCGTTATTGCCTTCCACCCAAAACACTGGGGCTGAAAGTTCAATGGGGGATTGCATCGTTGAGAGAGTGATCGTGCCACACAATGGCCTAGCTATTAGGTCCGGCTTTAGGGCTACAGTCACCCATATGAATCTATGAATCCTACCTCAGATGCTTGTGATATGGGGACACTTGAACACCTTATTCCTAGGCCTTTTTGTGACCCCATTTACTAATTTTTAAGCCGGCAAGGGTGATCACACACACGATGTGGGATGGCTGTGAGGATTATAAATACCAAGGATTATCAGGTCACCAATAATATCACTGGGGCACCAATAATATTAGTCAGTTGAACGTCTAACTCTTGATCTCAGCTCAGGTCTTGATCTCATGGTTGTGAGTTCAAGCCCCACGTGGGGCTTTGCACTTTACTTAAAAATAAATACTAAGGATTTATTACTGCAGTATGGTAATAAGCAGAGCATTCAGAACTAGGCTGTAAGCACCCTGAGGAGCTTGTGGGGGTTTCTAGGGAGAGAATGGGGCATTCTGATTGGGGGGATGGGGATAGGCATGTGGTAACAGAAATACTACTACTAATAGCAGCCAACGCTCACACAGCCTCTACTATGTTTCATGATAGGCCCTGTGCTAGGGGCTTTCTACCAAGAAGTCTGTTGAATCCTCCCAAAGGCCCATGAGGTAAATATCCCTACCTTGCATGTCTAATGTTTTAGTCACTGGAGCCATCTCCCAGCTTTCGGAACCCAAGAAGTAAAAGCTCCGAATGGAAAAAAGCAACCTGAACTACCCAGGTGCACGGGGAAGCCAGCCTCACCCACGAAGACCAGGTGGCTCCAGCTGTCCAGCGTCAGGCTCCTGAGAAAGGGCCAGCTTCCTCCAGCTGGAGGGACATCCACGGCCCCATCCTCAGACGGCACAGCTTGTAACCACACATTCCTGTCCACTCTGGTGATCAACACTGGGCAATGTGGAAAACCCAGGTGGGGACTGCTCATTGCTTTCCTAGGCACAGTGCTCTGGGCCCGGGGGGGGGGGGGGGTGGAGTTACGTAGGGTTCCTACCCTAGAACAAGTCTGTGTTACACCTTGGGGAGAAACAGAAATCAGAGAGGAAATGACACCTCCAGATAGGAGGCACGGAGAAGGACACAGCCTCAGTTCTGTGACTTTCCTACCAGAGGTACAAGATCTGAATCTAATCAGGAGAAAACATCACACAGATCCAAACAGAGGGCCATTCTAAAAGCAGGTAAAAGCTTCAAGAGGGTTGAGGTCACACAAATCGGGTATATTACTTTGCTTGGGCCACCATAATGAGGTACCACAGGCTGAGTGGCTTCAGAGCCATTTATTTCCTCACAGTTCCAGCGGCCAGAAGTCCAAGATGAAGAGGTCACCAGGTTTGGCTTCATTCTGAGGCCTTGCTCCTTGGCTTGCAGATGGCCGCCTTCTCCCTGTGTCTTCACATGGTCTTCCCTCTGTGTGGAACTGTGTCCTAACTTCCTCTTCTTAGGAGGACACCAGTCAGATTGGATTAGGGCCCACCCATGTGAACTTATATTTAATCTTAATTACCTCTTTAAAGACATCATCTGCAAATACAGTCACATTCTGAGGTACTGGGGGTTAGGACTCCAACATATGAATTTGGCAGGGCGGGGAGGGGATGGGTGGAAACAATTCAGCCCATAACATCAAGGACAGATTTGAGAAACTGTTCCAAATGAAAGGAAACCAAAGAGACATGACAACCAATCTAATGTGTGGTCCTAAATTGGATCCTGGACCAGAACTGGTGAAAACAAATGCGATCTAGGGGTGATGTAACACAGCTGTCTCGATGTTAAATTTCCTGATTTTTATAACTACTGCCTTGTGCTGGTGGTTGTTATGGACTGAATGTTTGTGTCCCTCCTCAAATTCATATGTTGAAGCCCTCACACTCCGTGTGGCTGTATTTGGAGAGGAGGTCTCTGAAGAAGTAATTAAGGTTAAATGAGGTCGTGAGGGAAGGGCCCTGGCTGGTAGGATTAGTGTCCTTATAAGACAAGACATTAGAGACCTTGCTCACGCATGCGTGCTCCCCCGCCCCCATGCACTGAGGGAAGGCCACGTGAGGACACAGTAAGATGGTTATCTACACATCAGGGAAGAGAGCCCTCATCAGGAACTGAATCAGCTAGAACCTTAACCTTGCACTTCTAGCCTCCAGAACTGTTGAGAAAATAAATTTCTGTTGCTTAAGCCACCCAGCCTGTGGTATTCGGTTATGGAGGCCTGAGCTAAGACAGTGGTTATGTAGGAGAACATACTTGGCCTTAGGAAAGGCACACTGAGACATTTAGAAGCACGGAGGCATCGTGTTTGCAACTTACTCTCAAATGGTTTGGGAAAAATATGTACATAATTTTATATATATATATATAAATATATAAATGTGTATATAGAGAGAGGAAGGGACGGGGAGAGGGAAGAAAAAATCTTAAGGCAAATGTGCCAAAATATTAACAGTTGTTGAATTGGGTTGAACGGCATATAGGAATTCGCTGTATTGTTTATGGAAATCATCTCTAAGTTTGAAATTATTTGTAAATAAAAGGAAAATTAACTGGTTAGTTCCTTTGGGGTATGGGATCCTTAGGAATTAGAGCGGTATTTTTGAGCAATATTTAGGGAATCTTTCCAATCCGGCTAGGCTCTCTTTATTGAAGACGATCCCCTTACTTGCACATGATATTGGTCCTTGTTCCTACACTTTCAGTGACCCTATCTTATTTCACACTCTCTGCAGTCCTGTGTCTATAAGACAGGCAGCTTAGCATCATTCTAAAGACGAAGCTGTTGCAGCTGAGTGGGTCGCCTGGGTCATCTTCATTAACCATCCCAGCCTGCTAGGAGGGCTACTGCCCCGAAATTCATCCAGGGCACTACGAAGCATTTCCCTGCTCCCTACAGGCCTATTGAGACATCTCTCTTTGTGTGAGACCGCACACAGGTCCCGGACTATGCCCACCCAGAACATGACAATGACTCAGGACACTTCCTCTTACCACCTCCTCCCTCCAGCTCACCCAAACAAAAAGGCCATCACCCTGACCCTAGACCCCACCGATCCCACTTTGTCTCCTTTCCACAGGAAGGCAGAGCCCAACGTCTTCCACACCCTGGCAGAGCCAGCTGGGGAGATGGGACATGCTCAGGACTCCTCTGGAAGAGCCCAGCTCCCACCGCCCCCCCCCCCCCGCCCCCGCAGCAGCCTTCCACCTGGCCTCCAGGTCACGGTCAAGCCTCTCTGCTGCTGAGCGTGGAGGAGCACCCTCTTCCGCTCGCTTCACTCAGAGGGCCTCTTGGGGTCCATTCCCTGAGGGGTCATCCAGCCCTGCCCCCCCCCAGCCTGGGAAACCTCTGCCCACACCCTCTTGCTGCACGCCCCCCACCAGCCCTTCCTGTGTGCCCCACCACCGTTCCTGCCCGTCTGCAACCGTTTCTGCAGCCACTCTGCCCAGCACCGAAGAGACTTAAATTGGGGGCGGAGGCTCTTGTGGGCCCCTCTGACCTCTGGCTGGGTGAACCACACTGGCACAGAGAATGGATGGCAGTCTCTGTTCGGCAAAAGCTGCAGTGACTCTTACTTGGTGTAACAGCCTCAGGCAGAAATTTCCATTTTCCAGCTGAGACGCAGATGCAGGAAATGCTGTCACTCTGGCCTGTCCCACATCAAGATGCCAGGGGTAGGTGAGGGAGAGCAGGCAATGAAAGACTCTGACCTGGTGAAAGGGAAAGCGGAGCTCGCTGTTCAGGACATGGGTCTGTATAGAGCAGGAGACAAAACAGGTGAACAGATGAAAGGCTTCTACTTGTGTAGGAAAAAAATCTTGCCCTTGGGGCGCCTGGGTGGCTCAGTTGGTTAAGCCTTGGGCTCAGGTCGATCCCAGGGTTCTGGGATCGAACCCCGCATTGGGCTCCCTGCTCAGCAGGGAGTCTGCGTCTCTTTCTCTCTCTCCCTCTGCCCCTCCCTCCCGACCCTGCTCGCTTTCTCTCGCTCTCAAATAAATAAAATCTTTTTTAAAAATCTTGCTCTTTTTCTTTTTGCTTTTTTGTATGAGTGGGGTAGACATTGTTGGGCCCCTTTATGGGCTCCTGCACTGCCCGCCCCCACTACGGCTAATGTTGGCTGTAAAAGGAATATTTGGTACTGATGGCATGCCCCTGGTTTCTGCCTCTGTCAAGCCTATATTACACGAGAAGCATTATTTGGGGGATAAACATTTAAAATAAAATAACTTCTCCATACATTCGACCCAAGTAACCATTGCCCTCTAGAACAAACAGAATACAATTTGAGATTTAAATTTGTAAAGAGTATTCGGTTTCTTTTTTTGCAGTCCATCTGTGACGGAATTTGTCTCCTCACACCCTAGGTCCTTCAGGGAGTCACTTAGGAAGAATTCCTTGGTGCGGAGGGGCAGCTGAACCAGGGGTCCTGACTCTCTCTTGAAATGTACCTTCCCCCACTGGGGTTCTCCCGTTTTGATAATCTCTGCCCCAACCAAAAAAAAAATTTTTTTTGGAATAAATGAGGGCAGAAGAATCTGGTTAACTTTGAACCTGCCCCCATTTCCATGCCACCGAATGGGCTGGAGATTAGCATATCTCACAGGTATGCACAACTCACAAGCAAACAGAACTCAGTGTGGCCACCCCAATGCCTGATAGCAAAAGACAAGACCACAAAAGCAAAACCAAACAAGTGGGACATCACACTAAAATGCTTCCGCACAGCAAAAGAAACCATCAATAAAATGGAAAGGCAACCTATTGAAGGGGAGAAAATATGTGCAACTCATATGTTTGATAAGGGGTTAGTATCCAAAATACATAAAGAATTCATATTTGAAAGTTGCCAACAGAGTAGATCTTCAAAGTTTTCATCACAAGAATTTTTTGCAGCTGTGGATGGTAACGGATGTTAACTAGACTTATTGTGACCATTTCGCAATGTAGGCAAAGGTCAAATCACTATGCGGTACACCTGCGACTGATATAATGTGATGTCAATTAAACCTCAAGTAAGAAAAAAGGTCAATCTGTAGTAGAATGGATGAAGGTCCTGTGGTACATCTATAGAATGGAATACTCTAATGGAATGGAAATGAACTACAGGTAGATGCAACAATGTGGGTGAATCTCATAAAGATATCTCTCGGAGGGGGAGACGAACCATGAGAGATGATGGACTCTGAAAAACAAACTGAGGGTTCTAGAGGGGAGGGGGGTGGGAGAATGGGTTAGCCTGGTGATGGATATTAAAGAGGGCACGTACTGAATGGAGCACTGGGTGTTATACGCAAACAGTGAATCATGGAACACTACATCAAAAACTAATGATGTAAGGTATGGTGATTAACATAACAATAAAAAATTTAATAATAATAAAAAAGATATCTCATAAAGATAAAGCCAGATAAAAATGCTGGCTGGAAGGCTGACTTAAAAAGAGCACATACCACATGATACCATTTAAAGTTCAAGCACAGACACAACTAAGCTAGCCTGAGAGAACTCAGGATAGTGGTTACCTTTGAGGCGGTGTGGTCACTGGTGGTAGACAGGAGGCAAATTCTGGAATGCTGGTGAGAACGGGGCAGCCCCGGAGGCCAGGGAGCTGGCATGACACAGCTGGGCCTTGGTGTTCACCTGTTGAACTGGAATAATCTCACAGAAGAAAAACAGACCAAATCACTCTATGACAGTGATGGATCAAGATAAAATCTCTCATCATGGCTGACTACAAAGATATAAACCTTGTCCAAACCACAAAAAATGATCAAACACCCCCCTTTGTCCACTCATATCAGTGACCCATGCTTCTCTACCAATTAGTTTTAGTCTCTCTTCATTCCGTCCACCATATAGGTTTCCAATACCCTTGCTTCCTGCCAGCACCCAATCTAGATCCACATTGGCTTCTCCAATCCTCCCCGCAAATCACCTACCAGAGGCCCGCATCCTCCAAGTCTTTTATAACACCCCCTTACTGAGACACCACACTGTGTGCATTCTCCCTCGCTGCACTGAGTAATAAATCCAACATGCTCAACCACACTTGGGTCCCTGGTGGTCTTTGGCTAGAGGGCTTTGACACAGGATAGGTTCTGTTTCTTGAAATGCATAATGGTTAGGTGGATTTTTTTTTTTTTGCGAAATTCATCATGCTATGCAATTATTTATGCCCTTGCATATATCTACTTGCAAGACCGACTGCACAACAGATGCTTATGGCAAGTTATCCACTGTATTAAAGCTTCCCAATTAAAAAAAATAATAACGTAACGAATCCCACACCACTGAGTATTCATAGAACAAAACTTTGGGTTTTTTTTTTTTTTTAAAGATTTTATTTATTTGACAGAGAGAGGCACAGTGAGAATGAGAGAGAGAGAAGAGGGAGAGAGAAAAAGAGAACACAAGCAAGGGGAGCCCGATGTGGGGCTTGATCCCAGGACCCTGGGATCATGACCTGAGCTGAAGGCAGACGCATAACGACTGAGCCACCCAGGTGCCCCAGAACTTTTTTGAACTCCTGTTATATAGCTAGGGTTTTCCTGGGTGTTTGGGGGCACAGAAATGCAGAATACACATTTCCTGTCCTCAAGGGGTTTAGAGCCAGTGAGTAAGGGACAGGCGTGGCTAGGTAGGGAGAGACAGGGAGGGGGCTAGTAACCAGGCTCACAGAAATCCCAGATGTGGAGAAATGTTATAGGCAAGATATTAACCAGAGAGAAAAGAGCATAACAAATCCACCTTGCTATTTTCGGAATATTTACAAATCCACCTTGTTTGTCTTAAATGTTATAGACAAGATAGTTACCAAGTTCCCTGGTCTGTTTTCTATAAAAGAGGGATCATAAAAGCCCTCAGTGGCAACCCATTCGGGACCCCTCTCACTCTAGAGAGCTTTTTTTCTTTCCTTTCTGTTCTCACCTTCACTTAATAAGCTTTCACTTCACTTCACCCTTTTGTCCGCGAGATTCATTCTTGGACTCCGTGAGACAAGAACCCCGCAACCCCGCAACACCAGGGAACCTCGACACGTACATGCTGCGAAGCTGTGGAAGAGCGGTTTTGAAAGGTGCATCGTGTCCCTCAGGCTGATTGGGAAAAGGCATTTCCAGGTGGTCACATCAGGAGGGACAGCGCACAGGTGCTGGATAAACGTGATAGGTAACTGCAAACACCTGGGAATGAAGAGTCTGCAACGGAGGATTTAAGGTAATAATAGATGTTTAGTTTCCCTATCTCAAAACCAAAACACCACTGAAAGGACTCTATAGACCCCTCAAATTTGATTAAGATAAAATTAAGATGAAAATAAACAGAATCAGGAATGAGAAAGGAAACGTAATTAAATCTAGAGGTTTTTAAAGTATGAGAACACAAGGTGAATTTTCCAATTAAATGTGGTGGACTGACCACAAGCATCTAAATTCGTTTTTTCCTAAGACACAAAATTAACTGTAAACAAATGCTCTTTTTAATGTATAAACTCACCATGTGGACAAAGGGAACAGATGTCATGAAAGCACAACAGATTTCCGGAAGGCAGCAGGGTGGGCGCAGACCCAGCTGAGACCAGTGAAAATCCAGCCCAGATGCCTAGCGGAATCCCTGAGGGGCAAAGGACCTGACAGCCACCGGGTCCCTAGGAAGGCAGGGGTAGGAGGTGACTTTTTTTAGAGGGGGACTGACTTCTGACTTGACCCCAGATCCCCACCCCAAGTGTGTTGACAAGAGTTGGGGCAAGTCCAAAATCAAGAAAAACAAAGTTAATGGAATAATTGATAGTGTTAGGGGGAGTGCTCAGTGCATCCATGTTCTGGGTCCAGGACAGGTCAGAAAATGAAATAACACAGGTAAATGTTGAAGGTCCATATAGTGCTCTATGGTGGGTCTGAGTTGGGCCTGGGAGGGGCCGATGTATATGGCCTTACTGTATCATGGGAGTACCACCAGGTCTGGCTGACCTTGTAATTCATGCGGCTCTTGTTCTTGTGCAGTCCCCACAGCCAGGCCACCCCCTTCACAGCCGGAGGAGGAATTGCCACAGTGTCAAGACAAATCCATCCTTTGGGAGAGCACTCCACCATCCCAAGAGTGCAAGCAAGAGGCCGTGACATAGGAGGGGAAAGAGCTCAGCAGAGGCCCAGCACCTGGAAGACTGTCATGCATCGCCCTCCTTGGACTGATAAAATGGGGATAATAATAGTACTCACTTGGTACCTTTTTAGCAGATTAAAAAAAACTGAAGAAAGTAAAGCACTTAGCACAGTGCTAGCATCTAAGGGCTGAATGTTAACTGTAGATATTATTTCTGTTAGCACCTGCCTACATGCCCTGAATCAGGATGCCCCTTTCTTGCCTTAGAAAACCCACCATTCCGTTTTAGTACGCTCACAGCCTAGCTTGGAACGCTCTGCACCAGTCACGAGGTAGCTACAGCTACCATCTTCTGATGCACGGATAGGAAAAGAAAACAACAAAGTAGCCAAGTTTACACAAACCACAAACTTCAGCGACTCGGTCCGTCCACAGCTCGAACTCAAAGGCTAGGTAAAGCCGCAACCACCGCGCAAGTAGGCGCAGCTCCGGCCCCGAAAGACACGCCCACAAGGAAGCCCCCAACCCGTTTGGTGGGTTGCGAGAAACCGTAGTGCGCAGGGCGTGTGGGGCCTGTGGGGAGCCTATGAAGGCCCCACCCCCGTGAGAATGCCCCTGGACTTCCCGCCCCTTACGTGACGCCCCGCCCTCCACGTAGAATTCTCTGAACGAAGCTTCCTCCACAGACACCTCCCCTACACGCCCCGCCCTCCATGTAGAAAGTCCTGCACGCCCCGCCCCCCTACGGAATACCCCGCATGTCCCGCCCACCACGCAGAATGCGCCTATGCCCCGCCCATCACGTTAGACCACCCCACTCGCCCCGCCCCCACGTAGAACTCACAGGTCCTGCCCACCACGTAGAGCGCGCCACTCGCCCCGCCCACACGTACAACGCCTTCACACGCCCTGCCCACTACGTTAGACCGCCCCACATGCCCCGCCTTCCACGTAAAAAATGCCCCGCTCGCCCCGCCCTCATGTAACTGCTCCGCCCCCACCCCGCCCTCCACGTAGAACCACCCACATGCCCCGCCCACCACGTTAAACGGCCGCGTTTGCCCCGTCCTCACGTAGAACGCCCTCCACAGCCCGCCCCCCACGTAGACCCACATGTCCCGCCCAACACGTAGAGCGGGCCATTCGCCCCGCCCACCACGTCGAACGACTTCGCAGCCCCACGCACTACGTTGATCGCCCCTACGCCCCACCCTCCACGTAGAACGTCCCTCTGGCCCCGCCCCTTCGTGTAACACCCCGCTCGCTCCGCCCACACGTAGAACGCCCCCTCCCCTACGTAAACCACCCACATGTCCCGCCCACCACGTAGAGCGGGCCATTCGCCCCGCCCACCACGTAGAGAGGGCCACTAGCCCCACCCACACGCAGAACGACTTCGCAGCCCCGCCCACTACGTTAGGCCGCCCCACGCCCCGCTCGCTCCGCCCGCACGTAGAACTCCCCCACCACACACACACCCCGTCTCCAAAGTAGAACCACCCACATGTCTCTCCCACCAGGTAGAGCGGTCCACACGCCCCTCCCACCACGTTGACCGTCCCGCCCTTCACGTAGAACGTCATGCTCGCTCCGCCCACAACGTAGACCGCCCCACACACCCCTCCCTTCACGTACAACGCCCCACCGGTTTCGCCCACCGTGTAGATCTCTGCGCAGTCCCCGCCCTCCACGTAGAAAGACCGCCCAAGTTGTAGCCTTCTTAGTCCCGAGAATAGACTCGCACCTGAGACTCCCACTGCTCCAGTACCCCAGCACTGCCTTTACCGTGTGGATGGGGCGAACCTGAGTGGAACCAAACTGGCCAATGGGGAGAGGAGCAGGGCCGTGCTTTATAGAATTGGACGGGATGGCGGAAGACTCTAGATTAGTGTTCGAGTAGGGCTAGGACCAATGGCGACTGTGAGAGCTGTGTGCGGATCCTATGGGCTCGGAGCGTGCCTGGCAGCGGGGCGGGATTCAGTGAATTTCAAATAGAGAAGGCGGGACGCACAGGTGGACTCCAAGGCAGGAGTGAAGCTGGAGTATGTGCGGGATGGGGACGTGGGTGCACCCCTATGTATGTAATGGCAGGGACATCTTAACAGTTGTTGGAAGTCCCCAGTAATAGATGAAAATAGCAGAGTGGCTCTGGGGTCATTGATAAGAAAGCAGTAGTAACGGGAAGATCGTGTCTTTTTGGTATTTTACAGCTCCTGTATGACTGGGAGAAACAATATTTCCTGTTAACTTTGCACTTGTCTTTACCTGTGCCCGTCACCCCAGCCCAATTAATAGCAAGGCTGCCTTTTTCTTTCTCGCTCTGAGCTGATTTTCACTCTTTCTATCCCAGAGAGGTTTTCACTCTTTTACTCTCCCTTTTAGCCAAGGGCAGGTGAGGTCAACCATGGAACATTATTCTGTGAAATTCAGATCTTAACCATTGTCTGGCTTCCACTCATCTAATGATGGTTTGGAGAACACAGTTTGTGGTTGGATAAATGTACATTCTTCACATTGCTTCAACAGCAGCTTAGTGTTGGATCATCAGACAGGACAGTGGCTGCATACAAGTATTCAAGACTCCGGAGGTCCCACATTTGAACACTGTAATATAGACAAATGCTGGAAGAATGATGATAGAATGTGTAGTCCACTTGTAAGTCAGGAGCCAAGTTTACCCAAGTTAAACGAAAAGAGCAGATCCCATTTCTAATCTGAAAAGCATGCAGATATCAGATGTTGGTGCACTAGCAAAAATACCAAATATATTGATTTGCTTGTTTGTTTCTCTGATATTTTTAGTAATGTTAAAGATCCCAGTGAGTCTATGGGAATGTAGGTACAACATTCCTCCACCCTGATGATGTGGTTTGGAGTTGTGGGGTCCGGAGCCGATGACCAAGAAGGAATTCTTGAGGCCTCCTTGGTGCACAAAGTGGTTATATTAAAGCATGCGGACAGGAGCCATGGGCAGAAAGAGCTGCACTGGGGTTGTGAGGATTGACTGATTATATAAGATTTTCTATCCTATGGAGAGGAGGGTGATGATAGGGCTCCAGGAAATTGAGTCTATAGGTTTCTGGAGATTCCTTTTTTTCCCTTGTAAATCATTAAGACAATTGCAAACTGATGGAGACTCTTGTCCTGCATGACTGTGATCTCCATCAGTTAACCATTTGGTTTTCTCTTTCCTTTGTTCTCAGGCAGCCAGGAGTGCCTGAGGAATGTCACACACATCCCACCTTGGGTGGGAGGGAGGAGGGGGGTGTTAGCTTGTGCTTTGCCCTCAGCTTGCCTTCTGCTCCTCATCACAAACAAATGGAACGATATTCCATGCTCACGGATTGGAAGAACAAATATTGTTGAAATGTCTATACTACACAAAGCAATCTACAGATTTAATGTAATCCCCAGCAAAATACCAACAGCCTTTTTCACAGAACTATCACCAATAATACTAAAATTTATAGGATATTTACATTTAATGTAATTATTAATATTTGGATTTATGTCTTATAATTTATTACTTTTCTTTTTCTAATTAAAGATTTTATTTATTTATTTATTTATTTATTTATTTATTTATTTATTTAAGAGAGAGAGGGCACGCAGAGTGAGAGTGAGAGAGCACAAGCAAGGCCAGGGGCAGAGGGAGAAGCAGACTCCCCACTGAGCGGGGAGCCCGACATGGGGCTCAATCCCAGGACCCTGGGATCATGACCTGAGCAGAAGGCAGACGCTTAACCGCTGAGCCACGCAGGCACCTATTATTACTTTCCTGATTGTTTCCTCTGTTTTTTTCTCTCTTTCTCCTGCCTTCTTTTCAATTATTTAAATATTTTCAGCATTATTTTGTCTAAATACATTTTTTACTATATCCCTTTTAATATATATTTTTAGTAGTATCTCTATGATTTAAATATATATTAACTTTTCAGGGACTGATTAGAATTCATATTTTAAAATTTCATGTGAGGGACACCTGGGTGGCTCCGTTGGTTAAGCATCTGCCTTCGGCTCAGGTCATGATCCCAGGGTCCTGGGATCGAGCCCCGCGTCGGGCTCCCTGCTCAGCGGGGAGCCTGCTTCTCCCTCTCCCTCTGCCTGCTGCTCCCGGTGCTTGTGCTCTCTCTCTCTGGCATATAAATAAATAAAATCTTTAAAAAAATAATAAAACTTCATGTGGAATGTAGAAAGCTTTCCCCTTTGTATTATTATCGCTCGATGTTTTACATCCATGTGTCACTTATCAATTTGTTGCCTCTCAGCTGTGAACGCACTCTTCAATATATACTTCATGATCAACAGCCAACTTCCTTCAAGCATTTCTCCTTTGAAGTGAGCGTAATGTTAAGATTTCTCAGTAGAGGGCACTCACTCACACGCCAGGAGGACGGTGCTTCCGACAATTTCTGGTGTAGGGGAAAGAAGGAGTCTTCCCTGTGGGGTTTGAGGACATCCAGTGGAACCTGCCCGAGTCTCAGGTCCAGAACACCATCTCTCTGTGACCTTGCAGCCTCAGCCTGGCAAAAACCTGCCCACAGCCCTCTCAGCACAGATCTCCTGCTCTGCAACCCCCCACCGCACGTTCCTTGGCCATGCAAAACCCACCTGCTGTACAAGGGACCAGGAAGAGTCGTTCATAATGCCTGTGCTCTGAAGGCCTTTTGCCCCTGCTGGCGCCTGATGTGCTCTGGGCCAGGAGTGGCCATCAAGAAAGAAATCCTTGAGACATTTTCAGTGCAAAAAGGTGTTTTTATTAAAGCATGGGGGACAGGACGGTGGGCAGGAAGAGCTGCACTGGGATTGTGAGGAGCAATTAACTAGATACTTTCAAGTTGGGGGGGGTGGTGTAGAGATCAGGGAAGTTTCCAAAAGGACTTTTGTATGTTAAAGAAGACTTACTGGATTCTGGAGGTCTGGATATCGTCAAGCTAAGGTTGCTCTTTGCCTGTAGCAAAGCATTAACATGAAGACAGTTGTGACCTTCTTGACGATTGTCATACTCTGCCTGATTGTCATACTCTGCCTGTCTCGGGTATTTATCAAGGGGCTGCAAATTGTAAGGAAATTTAATTTTATCTCATTTCTTTTGCCTTTGTTCTCCTCCTCAGCACCCAGATTCCCACTGCATGCACACACTGTCAGCTGCTGATCACTTACATATGCATTTTGAGGGGACACAAACATTCAGTCTGTAGCCTTCTGCCCCTTGTCCTCCAAAGTCCATGTCCTTCTCACATGCAAAATGCATGCATTCCATCCCAATAGCCCCCAAAGTCTTAACTCATTCCAGCATCACTCTACAGTCTAAGTCCAAAGTCTCATGTAAATATCACCTAAATCAGGCATGGGTGAGACTCAGAATATGATTCTTTCTGAGGCAAATTCCTCTCCAGCTGTGAACCTGTGAAACCAAACAAGTTAGGTGCTTCCAAAACACAAGGGTGGGGCAGGCATACAATAGACATTCCCATTCCAAAAGGGAGAAATAGGAAGGAAGAAAGGGGTAATGGTCCCAAGTAAGTCCCAAACCCAACAGGGCAAACAACAGTAAACTTTAAAGCTGGAGAATAATCCTCTGTGGCTCAATGTTCCACCC